CGGGTTCCCGTCCCTGTGACAAGGGGGCTCCTTTCCCTCCCCCTTTGACTGTCCTTGACAACATTCACTCCGACACCCATTTCCGCGGCTCCCGCTCGGAGGAGGCGGAGCCTAAAGCAGAGGCTGTTCTGAGGAGCAATGGAGCTCCTCTGGTCGGCCACCTTTCCGACTTGAGCAAAACAACGCTCCACTTGCATTGTAACGATCTCATCAGAGACCCGCCGCTGCGTTGCTGGTTTCCTATCTGGGAGCTCAGTTGTTCTAGCTCCGTGGTCGGCAAACTGCGGCTCGAGAGCCACATGCGGCTCTTTGGCCCCTTGAGGGTGGCTCTTCCTACACCTTAGGAGTATCCTAATTAAGTTAATAACAATGTACCTACCTATATAATTTAAGTTTAAAAAAATGTGGCTCTCAAAAGAAGTTTCAATCGCTGTCCTGTTGATATTTGGCTCTCTTGGCTAATGAGTTTGCCGACCACTGTCCTAGTTGTTCGGCTTCACGGGCTCCTTAAGTCGGTGCCAGGAATATTTGTCCGTGAAAAATAAAATAAAAAACAGCTGCTCTCCACAAAGTTAACGTTTTCAGAAACCACTTGGAGATTCATAGACACGGAGTTCTGGAATTCCAGGTGGGAGCTAGAACGCCAGGCCCTGCAGGAAAACGCAAGGATCACAGATGGATGAGCTCAGACTTGGTAACGGGAAGGGAACGAGAATGAGCAGCGAGAGCCCGGCCTGGCCTCGGCCGCCCCATTCCTGCCGCTGGGATGCGGAGCCTGCAGTTGTTCAAGTCAGAGCATCACTCATCGTTTTAAAAAATATTGTTATTGATTTTAGAGAGAGGAAGGGAGAGGGAGAGAGAGATAAAAGCATCAATGAAGAGAGAGACTCATGGATCAGCTGCCTCCTGCACACCCCACACTGGGGATGGAGCCCACAACCTGGGCCTGTGCCCTGACCGGGAATCGAACCCTGACCTCCTGGTTCATAGGTCGACGCTCAGCCGCTGGGAATCGAACCCTGCAGGCCGGGCTCCAGTCACATTCTTAGGGCAGCCACTGCCTGTGCACAACTCAGCACCAGCACACAGGTGACACGGGGCGCAGGGACGGACGACACCCCGACATTCTCTGCTCCCCACGGCTGGCCCCCTGGTCACCGGTCACAGTGGCCGCAGACAGGCGGCAGCCCACTGGCCGGTGTGAACGTCTGCGCTCACGGCTCCCCATTTCCCACGACGGTGGTCAGGATGCGGTCGTTGGCGAGAGCTTATTAAAGCAGGGAGGCCTCGCTCAGGCAGCTCGTAGCTCCTTGCCCTGGAGGCTCCCCTCCCCCCAGGCCCAGACAGAACCACCACGTGCTCCTGGATCTGGGGCCAGGACTTGTCCGTTCTGACCCAGGAGCCCAGACGGAACTCAAGCCCACGGAACGAGCAGACCCATTCCCGAGGCCTCTGCTGCGCGGCGTGTGGGTGAACATGCTCCCGGCCTCACCCAGAGAGCCGGCCCTCCTGTCTCTGGAGACCCTGCGGACCCGGTCACCGGCCACCAGGCCCCTGGCGTGTTTCCTTCCTGCGCTGTAAGGTCCTGCGTTAGCGCTCCCACTCTCCGTAAGGAGGGAGCTGCGGGGCCCGAGGCCCCACCCTGGGCCCAGCCCCTGCTCTCGCCCCCCCCTCCGCCCCCACCTCACGTGTGGCCCCAGGTGCCCACGGAATTCCCAGGCCTTGGGTCGTCGACCTGCGCCCCCCACGTCCCCGCTGAGGGCGTCTCACCATCACAGGAACCACACGGTCCAGCCTCGACGCGGTCGCCCTGGGCTGAGCCCCCACCTCACGCTCGTTGTTCTTAGTGCTGAACGGGAGCTGGGGTGTTGGCAGGAACGGCTCAATCTCGGACCCTCCCCTGGAAGACCTTCCAGGAGAAGCGAGGAGGCAGCGGGACAGGACGGGGCTCCCTCCACCCCCGAGGCCGTGAGCAGGGGCCTCTGTGCCCTCCCGTGGGGCCTGCCTCCGCGTCCCTGTGAGCTCACCACACACACAGGTGCACGTCCTGAGGGGCAGGTACGATTTGTGGCTAAATTTGAAATCTCTTTTTCTGATTTTTCAATTGTTATAGCACGTCCTTCCATGGCCTCCACGGCCTCCATGGCCGGCTCGGTATAAACTCCAGGACAAAAGGCAGCCATTGAGCAGTGACAGTTCCCGTGTGAATGACCTGGGACCCACCCCCGTCCTGGGCAGAGGTGGGCGGTGCCCCTGAGCCATACTAAGCACCAGCTAACTCACCGGGGCAGGGAGGGGCTGCAGGGAGGGGTGCAAGGAGGTGGTGCAGAGAGGATGCAGGGAGGGAGTGCAGGGAGGGGGTGCAGGGAGGGGGTGCAGAGGGTGCAGGGATAGGATGCAGGGAGGGGTTCAAGGGGAGGATGCAGGGGGTACAGGGAGGGGGTGCAGGGAGAGGGTGCAGAGTGGGGTGCAGGGAGGGGGTGCAGAGGGGCCCGGACACTGTGGCCCTGGGGTCAGCAGATGAAAGCCTGCACAGCTGTGACTGATGGCACCCACCACGCCCACCGCCCCCAAAGGGTGTCCCATCGCCGGCTTCTCTGCGCTGTGTGTGAGGCTGTGTCTACGGCTGGGAAACCGTGAAGCACACGACAGTTTGTCATAAACTCCTCGTGCAGTTGTGTGCTTAACCCTCCCCACTCGCCCTGAAACGTCAGCGCTTCCTCCACAACCACCACACGCCACAGGCTCACGAGGGCTCCTGACACCGCGCCTGCTCTCCACGCGCAGATTCTTGCAGAGTGAAGGCACCGATGTATGGAATTTCCCACAATCCTGAGGGAGATGCGCGGAGTGTGTTAGTACCAACAGGTGTGAGCTGACCCTGCCACGCCAATAAGCGGGTCACAGCCACGAACCCATGCCATGGAAGTGCGGCCACGCAACGCACGCACACACAAGCACGCACGCACGCACGCGCGTGCACGCACACACACACACACGCACGCACGCACGCACGCACACAAGGAGGGCAGGGTCCGAGGAGCGCCTGGTCCGCACCCAACCTTGAACCTGAGGCCCCTCGGTCCCTGGCTCCTCCGAATAGCCTTTCCCACATGACGGACCAGACTGTGCAGCCAGGAGACAGAACTCTTTCTCCCAACACCGTCACCCGGACCCAAACCATCCCGGGCCGGGAAAACGGGGCGTTTCCATCCAGCAAGATGCTGCTGGCGCCAGAAAAACAGGCGAGTGGACAGGGCGAGGGCCGGTTCCCGGAGCAAAGCAGGGGCTGGGGATTGTGAACCTCGGCCGAGCTCACGTCGTTCTCTGGGAGAGTCTCTGGGACACACTAGACCAGTGACGGTGAACCTATGACACGCGTGTCAGAGGTGACACGCGAACTCATTTTTTTGGTTGATTTTTCTTTGTTAAATGGCATTTAAATATATAAAATAAATATCAAAAATATAAGTCTTTGCTTTACTATGGCTGCAAATACCAAAAAATTTCTATATGTGACACGGCACCAGAGTTAAGTTAGGGTTTTTCAAAATGCTGACATGCCGAGCTCAAAAGGTTCCCATCACTGCCCTAGTCTCTCAGACGCTGTCACTGAAACCGCAGAAGCCGACACGGCACGGCTCCTCCGCGAGGGGAGTGAGGAGGCCAGCTGCGGATGGCGTGCGGCCCGCGGATGGCGGTGTCTCCAGGCCGGGGAACACACGGGCCGGCTTAGCGTGTCATTTTTTCTTTCTCACTTACTTCCCGAGTTCGTAAAAGAGTTATTAGGTGCAGCGTTCTCTCACTAAAAATATTTTTTCAGCCAATTTTAGGTCTTGGGTGACAAAACAGGTTTTAAAAATAACTGTTTTCCCTCCATGCGGTGCACCCCAGGGCTTGCGAGTGGCCACCAGCCACCGGTTGTCAGGTTGCGAGTTCCCGCTAATGATGGTGTCATCGTCCCGGCAGCCAGGAGCCCGGTCCTGGCCCCTCCGCCTGTGGACGTCGGCATCGGACAGACTTTCTAACTGTAACCGCCCGCCCTCCAAATAGAAAATCCGTCTAAAAGGAAACTCCACGTGCAAATGTCCCCACACTTCACGAGAAACAGCAGGAAGATGCTGTTGGTCTACAGGATGTGTTTGCCTGTTTTAGGAAACCTAACCTTGGACTGGAGGCACAGACCACGAAACTTCCCTTTTTTGTTCATCCTCACCCAGGGATGTGTTTCCATTGGTTTTATGGAGAGAGAGGGAAAGACAGAAACATTAACGTGAGAGAAACACATCAATTGGTTGCCTCCTGCACGTGCCCGGGCCGGGGAGGAGCCTGCAACCAAGGTACGTGCCCGTGACCAGAATCGAACCCGGGACCCTTCCGCCTGCAGGCCAACGCTCTATCCACTGAGCCACGCCAGCGGGGGCCACCATGAAACTTAACAGATGATCTGATCGGTGTCCTCAAACATTCATCTACATAGAAGGCTGCACATGAAAGCGGACGCGTCACGGATAAGGTTTTTGGTAAAATTAACGGAAAACAGACGACTGTACGGGTCGCTCCCCGGCAGCGTTGCTGCGCTCAGAGGCCGAGCCCTGTGGTGAGTAATAGACATAACCAAGAGCCACTGACAGGGCGCTGACAACGACCGCTTTTCCTTTGCAAAAATATACACAAACCAGAGACGCCTTGTTTGTTTGTTTTTTTGCCAAAGAAACTATTTGGTCCTTCCCACCGTGGACGGCAGTGCTCGCAGTTATTCCTAAACACTCCGCGGCCCAGACCCCGGGCCTGCGCAGTGCAAGCCGGCCTTCCGCCGGGAACTCTCTTAAGAAGAGGGGGTTCAGAATACCTTGGGGTTGCCCAGTGACACCCCCCTTCCCGGGACTCCCCATGAGGCCCCGACACGGAGTTTCCTGGGATTATAAGCAAACACAGGCGAGAGGCTCAGAAAGCAGCCAACGGGGTCAGGAGGCTCCCGTCAGCGACCGCAGACCTACCCGGGCACCGGGGCGTCTTGTGGGCCACGGCGGTGCCGCTGATGGGCCTCCCGTTGGGCGTGACGCACCAGCAGTATCCCGTGTAGCTGTGGCACTGCACCTGGAGGCGACAGGACACGGCGTCAGGGCGGGGCCTCTCCGCACAGGCGGCTCCCCTGACCCCCAGTGCAAGAGGGATGCCCGACCCGAATCCCACGCACACACGGCACCAGAGGCGCTGACCGCAGGCCAGTGTGCGCCGGCCCCTCCGTGGGCATCTGATCCCTGCCACCTGGAGCGGAGGCCCAAGCCCTCACCTTACACATGGGGAGACTGAGGCACCGAGGTGTCGAGAGACCTGCTCACTCCGTGTGCCCAGGGCAGAGGCAGGGAGAGGAGGCTCTTTCCATCAACCCCACCCCCGCCCGGGTCCCTCTGGCGTCCATCCTGCCCTGGTCCCCCTCCCGGCCAGCCAGCCAGGGGTCCCTCCCCATAGCTCCACCCTCCCTAGTTTTCCCTCTCTCTTTCCTCTCAAAGGTCAAATGCTGGCTATAAAACTGCCCAGAGTTCTCTGTGTACTGATGCCCAGCGGCCCCTGGGTTCCTGTTGCCCCGCGAGAGCTGGCTCTGTCTCGGACTCTCTCCTCAGTGAGGACGGCAGCACTGACGACAGTCGTGGCCGCACTGCGGGGCGGGCACCAGGGCTCCGGGCGCTGCCTCTGACTGACGACGGCCACGGTGAGTCAGGACCCGCGGAGCAGCCTCGAGCAACGAGCAGGTGAGGGTGCCCCAGCCTCCCCACCAGGCTGCCCAGGCTGTTCACACCGGAAGGGTGACTTAGAGCAACGGCATGGGGCACCCGGCCAGGAAGGAGTGGGACCCACTCTGCCCACTCCTGCAGGTGAGCCCGGTCACAGGCACCCACATGGAGAGGGTTCCCCAGCTCGGCCCCCGCTGCCCCACCATGGGCAGAGCACATGCCTGGCTGTGTGTGCCATCCTCGCTCCCTCCAGTACGTGCTGTAGAGTGTGTACCAGCTGTAGAGCGTGTACCTGCTGTACAGCGTGTACCAGCTGTAGAGCATGTACTGCTGTAGAGCGTGTACCTCCTGTAGAGCGTGTACCTGCTGTAGAGCGTGTACCTCCTGTAGAGCGTGTACCTGCTGTAGAGCGTGTACCTCCTGTAGAGCGTGTACCTGCTGTAGAGCGTGTACCTCCTGTAGAGCGTGTACCTGCTGTAGAGCGTGTACCTCCTGTAGAGCGTGTACCTGCTGTAGAGCGTGTACCTCCTGTAGAGCGTGTACCTGCTGTAGAGCGTGTACCTCCTGTAGAGCGTGTACCTGCTGTAGAGCGTGTACCTCCTGTAGAGCGTGTACCTGCTGTAGAGCGTGTACCTCCTGTAGAGCGTGTACCTGCTGTAGAGCGTGTACCTCCTGTAGAGCGTGTACCTGCTGTAGAGCGTGTACCTCCTGTAGAGCGTGTACCTGCTGTAGAGCGTGTACCTCCTGTAGAGCGTGTACCTGCTGTAGAGCGTGTACCTCCTGTAGAGCGTGTACCTGCTGTAGAGCGTGTACCTCCTGTAGAGCGTGTACCTGCTGTAGAGCGTGTACCTGCTGTAGAGCGTGTACCTGGCTGTAGAGCGTGTACCTGCTGTAGAGCGTGTACAGGGCTGTAGAGCGTGTACATGGCTGTAGAGCGTGTACCTGCTGTAGAGCGTGTACCTGCTGTAGAGCGTGTACATGGCTGTAGAGCATGTACATGGCTGTAGAGCGTGTACCTGCTGTAGAGCGTGTACATGGCTGTAGAGCGTGTACCGGCTGTAGAGCGTGTACCTGGCTGTAGGTGCCGTCCTCGCTGCACTCTGGGATGAACACCTGCTGGAACTCCTTCCTCGCCTGCTCCTGCGTGTACTTCCGCTCGGCCACACACCGGGACACGTCTGCAGGCGGGAGCAGAGCAGCGCGGTTACACACCAGGAAGAGGCAACGCCCGAGACACAGGCGCGTGGAGACTCAGGCACGACGGCGCGGGGCAGCCACCTCCGCTGGGCGGGCGAGTGGCCACCGCAGGTCACCAGCGAGAGGCTGGCTGCTCCGAGTCGGGTCCTTTAAGCCGGGGCAGAGGTTGGGAGAGGGTTACTGGCTCGTCCTGGTGACTCGGGACCTGCTTCACGGCCAACGAGGGAACACAGCTGTGGTCCAGCCGGAGCCCACGGGGTCCAGCCCACAGGCCCAGTGGGAGGGAGGGGGCTCGGGGGCCCCCAGGGGCTGGGACATGCTGGCCCACAGTGGGGTCCAGGTCACCCGCCTGGAAACACCATCGGGGGCACCACGGGGCCTCTTTGCTCTGTGTCTGCGTTTCCTAGGACCTCGGAGCGATGCCAAGCTCCGCCTCTTCCCACCGCCCAGCAGTGAGCGCCTCCGTCCAGCCTGCCCCGGCTGCTCAGGCACCACCTCAAAGCCGCGACGCCGGCCGGCCGGGTGGCTCAGTGGTTGAGCGTCGACCTGTGAACCAGGAGGTCAGGCACAGGCCCGGGCTGTGGGCTGGATCCCAGTGTGGGGCGTGCAGGAGGCAGCCGATCCGTGATTCTCTCTCATCATTGATGTTTCTAACTCTCCTGCTGGGGTCCATCCCCAGCGGGTCCAGGGGTTCCCCAAGGTGTGGACGGAGTCGGCGAAGAAGGAAGGACTCAAAGGCAGCATTCAGTTGATCAGCATGGTTGGGTTCTCCCTCCAGGATCTCCAGCCTAGTTCTCTCTAGGTTCTCCAGCCA